CCTAGAATTCAATGAGAATGAAGACCCAATATACCCAAACTTATGCGACACTTTGAAAGCTATGCTAAGAAGAAAGTTCATAGCACTAACTGCCCACATGAAGAAACTGGAGAATAGTCACACTAGAGAATTAACAGCACAACTGAAACCTCTAGAACAACAACAACAAAAAAAGCAAACTCAGCCCTAATCAAATTGAGGGCTGAAATCAATATAGTAGAAACAAACAAACAAACAAAAAACAATACGAAGAATCAGTGAAGCAAAGAGTTGGTTCTTCGAGAAAATCAACAGGCTAGGCAAACCTTTATCCAAACTAACCAAAAGGCAGAGAGAGAACATGCAAATGAACCAAATCAGAAATGAAAAGGGGGACATAACAACGGACACTGAGGAAATCCAGAGAATCTTCAGTTCATACTTTGAAAACCTGTACTCCACAAAATTCGAAAATTTAAAGGAAATGGACAATTTTCTGGATAGATATCACTTACCAAAATTAAATCAAGAACAGATAAGCAATTTAAATAGACCTATAACCCCTAAAGAAATAAAAACAGTCATCAAAAATCTCACAAGCAAAAAAAAGCCCAGGGTCAGATGGTTTCAGTGCAGAATTCTACCAGAAATTCAAAGAACAGCTAATACCAATATTCCTCAAAGTGTTCCACACAATAGAAGCAGAAGGGTCATTGCCAAACGCTTTTTACCAGGCTTCAGTTACCTTGGTACCCAAGCCACACAAAGACACAACTAAGATAGAGAACTACAGACCAATCTCCCTCATGAACATTGATGCAAAAATATTCAATAAAATACTGGCAAACCAAATCCAAAAACACATCAGAAAAATCATCCACCAAGATCAAGTAGACTTCATCCCAGGGATGCAGGGATGGTTCAATATGTGAAAATCCATCAATGTAATCTACCGTATAAACAAACTGAAAAAGAAACATCACATGATCATCTCACTAGATGCTGAAAAAACCTTTGACAAAATCCGACACCCATTCATGATAAAGGTCTTGGAGAAATCAGGGATAACAGGAACATACCTAAACATAATAAAAGCTATATACAGCAAGCCAACAGCTAACATCAAACTAAATGGAGAGAAACTCAAAGAGATTCCTCTAAAATCAGGAACAAGACAAGGCTGTCCACTTTCTCCATATCAAATCATTGTACTTGAAGTTCTAGCTAGAGCAGTAAGACAACAAAAGGAAATCAAAGGGATACAATTGGAAAGGAAGAAGTCAAACTTTCACTACTTGCAGATGATATGATAGTTTACATGAGTGACCCGAGAAACTCTACCAGGGAACTCCTACAACTGATAAACACCTTCAGCACAGTGGCAGGATACAAGATTAACTAAAAATAAATCAGTAGCTCTACTATATATAGACGATAAATGGGCTGATAAAGAAATCAGAGAAACATCACCCTTTATAATAGCCACAAACAACATAAAATATCTCGGAGTAATGCACGCAATGCCTTCAGCAAATCAGAAAGCATACAATCTTTCCTGACTCTAATCCCAGAGCTACAATTTGATGGGCTGACTAGCCAGAACACTCCCTGGAATCTGGGGGACATCCTTAGTGCCTGGCCTGCCCTTCCTCTGTCTCCTTTAGAGACCCACCTCTTGCTTTTGTTGTTGTTGTTGTTGTTAGGATCTAGAAGTATTGGTGGCTCCACTGAGGTAAGCATTGTGGAGTGTTCATGAATAAGGAGGCAGCCTTTTCCCTGCATGGCCCACTGCATCTCTTGAAAGAGGCTCCCATCCCTGAGTAGCTGTCCTCTGAAAGACCTTGAGTCCACAAAGAAGTAAATATTTTTTTTCGAGACAGAGTTTCTCTGGGTAGCTTTGTAGGCCAGGCTGTCCTCGAACTCACAGAGATCCTCCTGCCTCTGTCTCCTGAGTGCTGGGATTAAAGGCATGAGCCACCACCGCCTGGCAGAAGTAAACTATTTTAAGGAGTGCAATTGGTGCTTATGGAACTCCTCAGGACCCCATGTGTACTATTCTCGAAGGCCTTCCCCACACGCACACCACCTCTGTCTGCTCACAGGGCCTGCCGCATGAGCTCGCCACCTGCACTGCCTCGCTGAACCCCTGTCTCAGAACTTCCGGTTCTTTTTTTGTTTGCTTGTTTTGTTTTATTTTTCGAGACAGGGTTTCTCTGTATTGTTTTGGAGCCTGTCCTGGAACCTATTCTGTAGACCAGGCTGGTCTCAAACTCACAGAGATCCGCCTGCCTCTGCCTCCTGAGTGCTGGGATTAAAGGTGTGCGCCACCACCGCCCGGTCTTCCAATTCTTGTATGCTAGTCCTGGCTCTGAGTGTCCTTAGCCAGAGTTCAGTGCCTGACGTCCTTGTCTAGAACTGAAGAGCTCAAAAACTCAACGTGCACCTTTCCAAAATTTCATCTTGGGAAGGAAATGGGTCGATAAAACACAAGAACCCCAACAATGCACTGTGTCAGGGCGGACAGTCAAGGAGCGTGGCCACAGACTTCTCTGGGTCTTTCACTATGGTCATTGTTATTGAGACCTACTCGGAACCGGCCACAGGAAGTTATGGTCATATTTCCAGTCTGTCCCCACGCAGTCTCCTGGTCCTCTTGTGTCACATCAAAGGAAAGCAACGTTCAGTTGCCTACTGCATGTTCCATACCACACACATAGGGTACCTGGGATCCCCTTCCTGGCTCTGAGCCCTAGGTGAGGAAGACAGCTTGCTTCTATAAAGCAAAGCCCCACCATCATCTCTGGATTCTGTTTATAAATGAGAATGCTCCATAGAAAGAGTTCTTGGGGGTCAGCTGTAGAGAAAGACTGGGGGCTGGGAGTATAGCCCTGTGGTATAGCATGTACTTAGCATTCCCAAGGCCCCTCACCCGGGAATCTGCATGAAGTCTATTGTCTCCAGGGGAGCCCTTCTTCTTTCTCAACTACAAACCTGCAACTTTCTAGGACTCTCACCAGACACTGCATTTACAAGAAAGGACATGGGGGTCTTAACCCTGTGTGCAACCCTAGTGGCTCCTGGTTATCAGGTTACGATTATATTGGATGTATATATACATATGTAAAGCTATACATGGTTATAATATAACCCAGCATACATCTAGAGTCCCTAAATCGCATTTGTCAAAAAAGGGAGAGGAAGAAAGGTTTCTTAGCAACCTTTTAAGATGCCATCCGAGGACCACCAAAATAGAACGTACAGCTAATACTAAGGCGTTAGTGGTGAGTGTCCCTTGAGGCCACGCCCACACTTGGTTATGTGCATCCTTCTTACTGAACATCTCTGTTTCTCCCTCAGCACTTAAACTTAAGTTTACATTAAAATGTTCCCGGACGCCACTTCACAAACTGCCTACGCCTGAAATTCTTTTCTGTGTTGGAGCCACAAATCTAGGTGTGGCCTGAGCTGAGGTTCCTAAAAGATTAGGGGAACACCTCAGGCTGCTGAGGGTAACAGTGGAGCTGTGTCTCTGTCCCCTCATCATTGACAGGTCCACTTGCTGTCCACTCACAGATATCACAGCCGACTGTGAATCATCTCCCGATGAAAGCCCTTTTTAGTACAGCAAGACCTTCATTCCCATGAGGCAGAAACACACACACACACAGATCCCCTGCTCATGCAGGACAACAAGCTCACTGTCAGTTACATTCCAACCTCTCCCTAGTGAGAAACGGGAGTGTGTGTGCCCATTTAACGGAGAGCCAAAGCTTAAAAAATCCTGCCTTAAGACATGCTAGTTAATGGCTGGCTACTGTGTGTGTATAGGGGGCAGTTGGATAGGAGGAATAACCTCTAGAACTCTGTAGCACAGTGGAATAGCCCTGATGCATTTAATTAAGAATTGGGGAGATGGCTCAGTGGTTAAGAATACTTGCTCTGCAAGCATGAGGGCCTAAGTTTGACTCCCCAGCACCACGTAAAAAGCCAGGCATGGCTGCATACACCTGTAACCCCCATGTTGTGGGGGCAAAAACAGGCAGATCTTGACTTGGTGGCCTCTGCATGTGTGCATAGTTCATGTCTACTCATGTACATGTGCCCCCCCTCACAGAATAGCATAAAAGAGGGGCTGGGTGATATCGCAGTCTGTAAATTGCATGACTTAAAAACATGAGGACAAAAGTTGGATCCACAGAACCTACGTTAAAAAAATAAATAAAGCCAGGTGTGATGGTATGTACTTGTGGTCCCAGAGCTGAGGAAGCAGAGCCTGCCAGCCAGCCTAGCCTTCTTGAGTACCTCCAGGTCAGTGAGAAACCCCAAAATCAAAGTGGACAACGACTAGAGACCAACAGCTGAGGTTACCACACACATGAACACGTATGTTCATCCATACAATATGAACACATGCACACGTACACTCAAAAGAGCTAGTGGATGAGGTTCTGAGTGTTCCCAACATAAAAAAATGTAAATTTTTGAGGCAATGGGTATATCCATTACCTGTCATACTAAAATATAAGACACACATATGTGTCAATTAAAAATAGAAAGGAGAACTTGTAGTGGAAAGTAGCTCTGCCCAGATGAAATGTCTCACTAATTTTGTCTGTTTAGCTAGGAAACTGAAAAACCTTTAAGTGGTACATGGTTGTCATAGCAACAGCAATACTCCGATCTTGTGTCCACAGGAGGCAAACCAGTTTTTCAGCTTTCCCTTGCTTCATGCACAGTCTACCTAGAATTTGTCACTTGAACTGGAGTGGCAGGAAGACCTGGCCACTCTCTCCACCAGGACTACTACGTGGCATTGCTCCTGCTCCCAGACTCTCTGCAAACCCAGGAAAGCTCTGCCTTAAACACACAGTACTATAGATGCCTCATGTGGGATAACAGCCACAGGATAAAGGGTGCTGTGTGTACCCCAGCTATGCCACAGGCTTGGAACACAACTGCACATCCGACTCACGGGGCTGCTGAGTGGCCCTCTTTCCACTGGTGAGCCTCCTTGACACTACCTCATTGATGGCCAGCTGCTCTCCGCCTCCTCTGGGGTGGCTGTAGTGGTGACCGGAGTTGTGAAGCTCTTCGTACAGGTCCTCTTCACTGCCTGTTTCGTCTGTGCACACAGTGTCCAGAGTTCCGTCGGGCATCCCTGGAAGGAGACACAGCAGCAGGCAAAGAGCGTCAGCTTGGGAGGTGGGAGGAAGCAAGTGGGGATTGCAGAACAAGTATTACTTCTTTGGGAGGAAGGAGAAGGTCAGGAGCTACTATGCCCAGCCATCCTTGCCTGCTGGATGGAAAGCTCCAGTCACTGGTCACTGACATCAGTACTGCAAGTCGCCTAGCCCTGGGCCACAACCACCTGGTAGACAAGGAGACGCCAGGCTTGGCTGGGGCACATCCTCCAAGACATCTCTAGTTGAATTCAATTAAAAGTCATTTATCAATGTGTATAAGGGACATAGAAGACCTAAGAAGAAAGGTTAATCTTTGGGTGCCTTTGAGATGGCTTATCCAGTTAAGGTGTGTGCTACCAATCCTGACTAGCCACGTTCAATCCCTGGGATCTACATGGTAGAAGGGGGAGAACAAACTCCCACAAGTTGTCTTCTGACCTCTATATGTATGCCATGGGTCATGCATACACAAGTACACACACACACACACACACACACACACACGCAAACACACAGGCACACACACACACAATGTGATTTTTGAGCCAAAAATGTAACTATTTTTTTTATTTTTGAGACTGTAATTTAATTACAACATTTTCCCCTTCCCTTTCCTCTCTAAACCTCTCCATACAGCCCCCTCAGCTTTCCTTCAAAATTCATGGACTCTTTACTTGCCCACTAATTGCTATTGCATACATACATGCATCTATATATACACATATATTACTAAATATAACCCATTGGGTCATACAATGTTACTTTATGTATGTTTTCAGGGCTGACTGTCAGCACTGGACAACCAGCTGGTGTGCTTTTCCCCGGGGAAGGTCACCTCTCCACTCCCAACTTTCCTCAGTTGCCTGCCCAGTTTGGCAAGTCTATTGGTGTCACCCTTGCTGGGCTCGTGTTTGGGCAGTTATGTTGGTGAGATTTCATGGGTATGGACTGAATGTCACTTCTGACATCACTAGGAGATGGTCTCACAGCAAACTCCCTGATCTTCTGGCTCTTACACTCTTTCTGCTCCTCCTCTGCAATGTTCCCTCAGCCTGAGGTTCAGGAACGTTTTGGCAGATGTGTTCATTAGGACAGGGATCCACAACTCTGCACTTTGACTGGGTATGATTTTACATGTTGATGCGTGTTAGAGTTTGAATGTAACTGACCCCCGTAAGCTCATAGGGAGTGGCACTATTAGGAGATCTGGCCTTGTTGGAGTGCTTATGGCCTTGGAAGAAGAAGCATGCCACTGTTGGGTGGGCTTTGAGGTCTCATATATACTCAAGCCATGCCCAGTGCCTCAATTCACTCCCTGTTCCTTCAGATCAAGATATGAGAACTCTCAGTTCCTCAGCACCATGCCTGCCTTGCTCCCAGCCATGCTGATAATGGACTAAACCTCTGAACTCCAAGTGAGCTGCCCTAATTAAACGTTTTCCTTTATAAGAGTTGCTATGGTCATGGTGTCCCTTCACAGCAATAGAAACCCTAACTAACTTATATTCTGCCCTTTTGTTGAATGTGGCTAAGAGTTCTTGCTTGGTTTCTAGCATTCATGTTGGGTAGCTTACAATTACCTGTAGCTCCCTCTTCTGGACTCCATGGGCACTGCACACAAATGCACACACCACTCCCCATAATTAATAATAGATAAACTTTAAAAGAAAGGATACTCAGGGTCACTAATCATGAGAAAAATGCAAGTCAAAGCACAGTGATCTCTCTCACATCCTTAGGAGATTAATGTAAAACCAATAAGAATAACAAAAGATGGGAAAGAATTGAAGATGGTGTGGAAGAGCAAGACCCTTTCAGTGTTTTTCTAAAATAATGCATAGTTGCTGCGGAGACTACTCAGTTGGCGGAGTGCTTTCTGTGCAGGCATGAGGGCCTGAGTTCGGTCTTCGGGAACCATGTAAAATAAAGAAAACCAGGTATGAGTGACTGTCTTACCATCCCACTGTTTGGGAGGCAGAGGCAAGGAGATGCCTGGCTAACTGGTGAGCCCAGACTCAGATAGAGAGAGACAGAGACAGAGAGATAGACAGAGAGAAAGAGAGAGAGAGAGAGTCTCAAAATAAAACAAAAGTGTTTGAGGAAGACACTTGACATCCACCTCTGGCCTTAAGCACATGTACACCCCACATAGACACATAGACCACATATAGGCACACAACGCCACACACACAAAGTTCACATATAATCTACTGCATACCCTGTGCCATGGCTAGTTTCACATGTCAACTTGCCGCAATTTAGAACCACCTGATCATCGGGAGCCTCAGATGCAGAATTACCTTAACTGGCTGGGACCTACAACAAGTGTGGGAGGAGGCGTTGGAAACAGCCCAGATAAAAGGGGGCCTGGCAGAAGATTATTCATGTTTTGTTCCACTGGCCTTGCCTGTGGCAGAGGAGTTAATTACTCTGCTGCTGCTGCTGCTGCTGCTGCTGATTCCACCACAGATCTCAGGAACCAGCTTTTCCTGAGCTCTCCAGGATCCCTCCAGGTTTTCATTGCCAGATTGGAACTGCATAGGCACGTGACCTCCTGAACTAAGAAAATACTGGGTTCTCGACCTCTCAGAAGTGAGACAGCTAGCTGCGTTACTAAATTGGCCACATTGCATAAGCTAACTTAATAAACTCTTTATATTCATTCTTTTGGTTCTGTTCCTCTAGAAAACCTTGATTAACATAGCTCCTCAAAACATGGAATCGGAGACTCTGATGGATGCTTAGATTCCAACGTCTGTGACAGCATTATAAGAGGCAAACCAGTCGACTCCACACTGCAGAGGGCTGGGAACAGGAAATGAGCACATAGTGCATTATTATGCATCATGAAGAAGAAATGAACCTTGCAAACTATGCTAAGTGAGTTCAGTGACACACAAAAGAACCCATACTAAACGCCACTTACTGTGGTGTCCGGACAGGCAAACTTGCATATTTATTCATCTGTATTTTACATACTGACTGCAGTTTCTCCTCCCTTCTCTCCTCCCAATCCTCTCACCTCCCTTCTGTTCACCATCCCCATCTACTTCCTCGTTTCTCTCCAGAAGAGGGCAGGCTTCCCATGGATATCAGCCAAGCATGGCATATCAAGTTACGGCAAGACTAGACACCTCCCCTCAAGGCTGGAAAAGGCTACCAAGTGTGAGGAAAACGGTCCCAAAAGCAGGCAAAGAGTCAGAGACAGCCCCTACTTCCACTGTTAGGAGACGCACAAGAGGACCAAGCTACACAACTGTCACATAAATGCAGAGAGGGCCTTGGTTGGTCCCATGCAGGCTCCCTGGTTCTCAGTTCAGACTCTGTGAGCTCCTGTGAGCCCAGGCTAGTTGATCCTGCGGGCTTTCTTGTGGTATCCCTAACCCCTCTGGCTCCTTCAATCCTTCCTCCCCATCTTCCTCAGGATTCCCCGAGATCCGGACAGGCAAACTCTTAACAGCAGAAAATAAATAAGAGCCCCCAGGGAGTATGGGAGGAGTATGGGAGTATGGGAGAATGGAGAACTATTGCTCAGTAGCCAGCGAGTTTATGTGGATGTGTGTTGCCTGTGTGTGGGCTTGGGCATGTTTGAGTGCTGGTGCCCTCAGAGGCCAGAATCACCAGCTTTTTCAGAGCTAGAGTTACAGGTGATTGTTACAGGTGAGTTATAGGTGAGCTATTTGCTGGGAACTGAACTCAGGTCCTCTGCAAAAGCAGCAAGCACTCTTAACTCCTATTTTTCTGTAAATGACACGAATTCATTCTTCTTAATGGCTGGGTCTATCTAAGTAGGCCAGGCTATCCTTGAACTCTCAACGCTCCCTTAGTCTCCCGAGTGCCAGAACTACAGGGGCGAGGATTCCGGCCACCTCTCGCCCTCCTTAGGCAGAAAGTCATAAAATCAGGAAAGTTCCTTACAGTCCCCTTCTATTCTCTTGCTTTCCTTTTCCTTCCTTCATACCTTTTCTCCTTCCTTCCCTTCCTTCCTTTTCCTCCCTTTCTTCCTCCTTTTCCCACTTCTCCTCTTGCTGCTTTAATGCTGCCCCTTCCCCCTACCCTCTCTGCTCTCCCACAGAAGGGAGAAACAAGCCGTACTTGTCTTTGTTCTTCAGACTGGCTTATTTCACTTACCACAATGACCTCAAAGTTCTAGGAGTTACCCTGGACTCCTGTCATTTTCACACAGTTCACACCCACACCAATGAGCAAATCTCTCAGCCCCTCCTTTTCTTTTTATTATCCAGAACCTAACTATGTCTTATCCTTCTTCTGCCAGCCCCCGGAGTAGGCCATGTCATTGTCTGCCGTGTAACCGAGAGCCTTCCAGCTGGTGTCCCCATTGAGCTTCCGTCCCACTCTGCAAACAGTCAGAAGGTCTGTAATACACACCTGGACTACGCAATCTGGAGGCCCCGTTTATCTGAGAGCGTGAGTCTTTCCCATGACAACCCACGATGGTTTGTTGCCAATGAGGCCTCATTGCCCTCTGCTCTTCTTATCCCACTTCGGCTCCACAAGCTCCTGACCAAGCTGAGTTAATCAGTGTCGATGAAGCCAAAGCAGCCATTGCTGTGGATACTGTATGCATTAGGGCTGCAGGCATCACACAGTTATGAGAGTGTTTGCTTAGCATGCAGGAAGCCCTGGGTTCAACTTCTAGCATAGCATAAACTGGGCAGAACAATACATGCCCTGCACCTCCAGCACCCAGGAAGTGGAGGCAGGAAGACCAGATGTTCAAGGCCGTCCTTGGTTTTATAGTGAGTTCAAGGCCAACTTATGCCATAGGAAACCCTGTTTCAAAACAGTAACAACAAAAACAGTGTTCTCCAGGGGTGGCATTGAGGGATGTGTTTATGGTCCTGATGCAGGGAATGCAAGCCTTGAGATATTGCTGGAGACACGCAGGATTTACATACATTGCTTCTCGCTCTGCTGCTTTCCCCCTTCCTTATTGGCTCTGACGCTGTCTCTT